TGAGTGGGGCGCGCGGGCAGGTGGGCGGGGAAGGGGCGCTGGGCCTGGCGGGAGCACCCCGCGGCCCGAGCCCGAGCCTCTGCTGGGTGCGAGCGCCACCCAGGTAAGACAGGGTCGGCCCGAGCGTCGCGCGCCAAGGGGGGCCCCCGGCGAGCAGGAGGAGAGAGGCTCCGGCGCCGGCCAGCCGCAGGGGGATGACCTCTTTGACCCCGCAGGCGGGCTAGGCAAGCCTCTGACCCGCGGACGTGCCACATCGTGCCCTGGAGACCCCGGGGGAAGCGCGCCTGAGCCCGCCGGCCGCAGGAGAATGGCCTCATTGACCCCTTTGGATTTAGACCCAACGGACGGGTTAGAAACCGGCCCACGTGGGGCTTGCCCGGGCAGAACAGGAGAAAGCGGTGGACCGGATCTCAGAGTGACTGGGAACTCGCAAATACCACAAGGGCAAATGAGATTGAAAAGGCAAACTTCCTCCCAGGCCGGGGCAGACCCAGTTCTCATGGCCCTGAAGAGAGATCTCTCCTTCCCGGGCTCCCGAGGTTTTCAAAAGTCTGACTGCAAAGTTGCAGCGATTTCTAGGAGTGAACTTAAAAATAATAACGATAATAATAATTGCTTCTACTAGTTAAGTCATTCATTCATTCATTCCACAAGCATTTATGGCACACCACCTCGTGCCAGGGAAACCTGGGAAAACGTTCTCTACTCCCTGCCCGCCAGAGCCACCCGGTCCACATGTAGGGCAGCAGAGTAAAGATATGGGCCTTAGAGTGGAAAACTGTAAGAAGAAATCTGCAAATCCTAGTTTTGAACAGTGGCCTCTGTCAGCAATTCCCCCACCTGTCCAGAGACTGAAGACCACTCCCCTGCATACAGTAGGCGCCTGCATGCAGTAGAAAGAGCAAGCACAGACCTTCATTTAGACAACCCGGTCCTCCTCACCCCCTTTTTGATGGTTCTGAGTCATCCCTTGTCCCTCTCCTTTCTGGACAGTCTTCCCTGCAGCTTGTTTTAATCACTTTTTGAGTTAAAAGTCAATATTTAATTAACCAAGTAATTACATTCAGCTTACGTTTGAATCTGGGTATTTGCACATCTGTGCACGTTGGGACAGCCGCCCTCTCGCCCCTCCATCTGTCCCCTACCTCTTTCCCACAGTGCTGCCCTCCCTCCTTTGGGGCAGAGAACGGGAGGCTACTCTGAGCAGATTCTCTGGGGAGACACATGGGGAGCAGGGGAGATGGGCTCTCCCTGGAGGACAGCCTGGCGGGTGTCACTCCCCAGAGCAGGAATAGTTACTCTCATCTTGTAGTTAATATGAAGGGGATTTCTTTCTGCAACTCCGCTACCCATTACGGAACCACTAGAGGGTTTTAATTAAATTAGAGTTATTCATTAAATATGGAAAGGGGTTGGAGAAGACAGACTGAAGACCACTGGCCCTCTAGGATGTTCTCCCAGCTTTGCTTGTTGGCAAGCAGAAAAAACTCCCTCGGAACAGCCTGTCCGTGTGTGTAATTTAATGTTCTAATAAGCAGCTTGAAGGGTGATGGTGATGGGCTTGGCTGATGAAAGGCTGGACATTTGCACATAAAGTATTTTCCTTCCTCGGTAAAGTTTATGTACATAAAGGCAGGCTGTGGGCATAACTGCTACAGGGTCAGAGTGGGTTTGGGGTTTGGGGTTTGTATATGTTTCTTGGGTTTTTTATTTGAATTGATGGCTTTTTCTGAAACCGTAATAACATGTTAAGTTTGCAGACTTAAGGATTGACTGATGAGTTGGTTGTAAAAAGCCTGGGCTTGGTGACGACAACGTGGCTATGTGTGGCCGTGTGTGTGTGCATGTGCATGCACATGCGTGTGTGGCCGTGTGTGTGTGCATGCACATGCGTGTGTGGCTGTGTGTGTGTGCATGCACATGCGTGTGTGGCCGTGTGTGCGTGAGTGCACATGCGTGTGTGGCCGTGTGTGTGCGCGCATGCACATGTGTGTGTGGCTGTGTGTGTGTGCATGCACATGCATGTGTGGCAGTGTGTGCATACACATGTATGTGGCCATGTGTATGTGTGTGCACCTGCACGTGTGTGTAGCAGTGTGTATATGCGTGTGCATGCACCTGTGTGTGGCAGTGTGTGTGTGTGCATGCACGTGTGTGTGGCAGTGTGTGTGTGTGCATGCACATGTGTGGCTGTGTGTGTGTGCATGCCCGTGTGTGGCAGTGTGTATGTGTGTGTATGCATATGTGTGTGGCAGTATGTGTGTGCATGCACATGCATGTGTGGCAGTGTGTATGTGTGTGCATGCACATGTATGTGGCAGTGTGTATATGTGTGCGCCTGCACATGTATGTGACAGTGTGTACGTGTGTGCCTGCACATGCATGTGGCAATGTGTATATGTGTGTGCATGCACGTGTGTGGCAGTGTGTATGTGTATGGGCCTGCACCTGTGTGTGACAGTGTGTGTGTGCATGCCTGTGTGTCTGGCAGTGTGTATGTGTGTGTGCATGCACATGTGTGTGGCAGTGTGTGTGTGCATGCCCGTGTGTGTGGCAGTGTGTGTGTGTGCATGCACCTGTGTGTGGCAGTGTATGTGTGTGTGCATGCACATGTGTGTGGCAGTGTGTGTGTGCATGCCCGTGTGTGGCAACGTTTGTCCATGTGTGGCTGCACACAGGCATGTCTGTCTCCTGCCCAGCAGCTTGATGCTACAGTCATCTGAGGAGCCGGTTGATGTGCGTTTGCACACCCACTGACGTTTTGATTGTTGATTTTGTTTCTGTCGTTTTGCGACTTAGGAGACCCCGTGTGTTATAGAGTAGAACTGCTCCAATAGGGTTTTCTTGGTTATAATCTTTACGGAAGATCACCAGGCCTTTCTCTCTCGGTGTCACTGGGTGGGGTTGAACCACCAACCTTTTGGTTACCAGCCAAGGGCAAACTGTTTATGCCACCCAGGGACCTTTGCACGCCCGCTGACATTTGAAGTCCTCCTTTGGATTACGGGCTCATGTTTCCCTCTGCTTTTTTCTGGATCTGGTCCAACCAGGCAGGTCTGGGCCTGCCTCCAGGGGGCAGCTTCTCGTCTCCTGAGTTAGCCAGATGGGGATTGTCGGCCACTCCAGCAAGTGTTGGCCATTATCTGTTTGTAGACTTTGCCCCTCAGAAGGAGACCGAGAGCCCTGTCCTGCAGAATATCAGCATTTCTGCCCACTTTGTAGTTAAAAGAAAGGACTCAGTCTAGATTTCAGGTGATCGATAACGCTTTCATAGACCAGGCACTGTTCTAACTCTTTTACACATATTAACTCATTTAATCCACGCAGCAACCCTGTGAGCTAGGTGCCATGGTTGTCGCCATGTTGAAGACAGGGGAACTGAGGCACAGAGAGGATTCTTGACTCACCCTCAGCTGTTAAGTGGTGGAGCCAAAGTTCAAGCCAGGCCCTCAGGCTCCAGGGTCTACGATCCAAACCACTGCACTATCCTGCCTCAACGACCTTGGCCTTTTTTCCCAAATGTAGAAGAAACACTTGCTCAGTGGAAGAAAACCTACTGAGACACTAAAACTTCAGGAAGTAGAGACCCCTCAATAATCCCACCTGTCTCCGCTAGCATCCACTTTTGGGGGAATTTCAGATTTGTGTTTCGGTTTCCTTTGTGCGGAGGAAGCATGCAGTTGTGTGGTGGCTTTTCATTCTGCCTGTGAGTCTGCACACATGTTCCCTCTACTCAAAATGCAAAGAAGAATATCAAATATGGCTGAAGGGGAAAAAACATGGCGTCTGAGAGGAAGGTTTTAGCCCCTGAAATCACACTGGCAAAGAGTAAAGATTCCCCGCGAGAAGACCCTCCTGTGATTGGACATGGAGTGGTGCTGACCTGCCCCTCCAGGGGTGGCTGCGGGGTCTAGAACACTGTTTCCAGCTGGGCCTGTGTGGCCAGTGGATGGGGAGGGCGGGCCTTTCACGCCGACCTATTGGCTAAGGAGGGCTTCCTGGGCCCGGCCTTTACTGGGCCTTCTTGTGAAGGCCTCTGATGGGGAATCTGCAAATGCCCCTGATCTCGCCAGATTCAAGGCGCTATCTAATTGGGAGATTATTAAGATCATTATAATTAATTGGCATCCTGATAAATGGCGAGATTGCCTAATTGGGGTGGTTGCTAGGGAACTAGGCCTGACTCGAAGCCTAAAGGGGAAGAGGCGCTGGGCTGGCCGCAGTTAGGTGTTAAGGCTGCAGGCCCAGAGCTAATGGGCAGGAAGTGAGAGGAGTATCCTTCATCCGCATCTGCTGGTGTT